ATTAAAACAAAAAAAAAAAAAAAAAGACAGAAAAATGGACAAATGGAAAAATAAAAAATAAAAAATCAGAAAAATGTGTTGTACCAAACTCCTTCCATACTCTCAAACCCATTCCCGTCCATTTGATACACCAGCCATCAGTAATGTGGTTTAGTTATGATTATGAAGATAAAATTATTTGAGGTAGTACGGAACATATTTAAATTACATTCTTTAAAAAGTCATTTATTCTCAAATTCGTTTTTAACAACATATTCTCTCAATGCAATGATTTTATACTTAAATTCAGAATATTTTATACTTTTTAATCACACATTCTCCAAAAAATCACTATTACGAAGTCTATTAATAAGTGTATTTTGTACACTCACCTAAGCTAGTAAATTAGAGTATTTATTCGTGATTCGAATGAGTTATAACTTAATTATGTGTTAATTATTTTTGTTAGGTTGAATTCAATGCAAATTGGTAAAATTGAAAAGGAAAAAAAGGAACCAAAAAGGGGCAAAACGAAAGAAATCCAAAGTTTTTGGACCAAAATGTAAGCATTCAATAATTGACTCGTACCATAAAATGATGATTGAAGATCACATGTGAACAATTGGATGCAATTTGGAGGTCAAAGAATTGAAATAGAGTTAAAGTATTTTCACAAATCAATTTCCAGCCAAAGAAGTTATGTTCCGAATTTTTAGCATTAATTTAAGACCCTTTTTTGGACAGCAAACGTTCGATTTGGAAAAATACAAGAAAAGTGTAACTCTTTGAGTTAACTTTTTCAAAACCCTTTGAATCACCTCAATCAAACATTGGGAGACCAAAAGCTACTCAAGGACAATAATGCGCAAAACAATGTGCATGCGCGAGAAACAAATTTCATGACCCAAGAGCCATATGTTCAATGGCTTGCACACAGGACTTTTTCAGTACACAAATTAATAGTTTCCTTTTCGCGAGAAACAAATTTCATGACTTGAGAGCCATATGTTCAATGGGTCACACGCAGGGACTTTTTCAGTACACAAAATAGCAGTTTCCTTTTCACAATTCAAACTCTTAAATCTATTTTCTGACTCTTAGAAGTAGAAAACATGGGCTACACAGTGAAAATCCATCTCTTGTCTCTTCATACACAATAGTGTCATCAAATCCATCAAGAACAAGGGCCCATAGGAATTGAAGCTCAATTACATGAATATTTTGAAGAATTCAACATTGGACTTGAAGATCAATAACTTTTGAATTATTTCATGATTCGGGTGAATTTTTCTATTATTATTCTTGTAATTTATATATTAATATCTTAGGTTAGATCCTCTTTCGCATCGGATGAATATTAACCCTAATTGTTATTTATTTCTAATTCAAGACTAATAGTTTAGCATTTCTTGATTAATTTTGCATTGCATTATTTAATTGATTGGCCACCGATTAGATATTAGTTGCTTGTTGTAGTGTTGGAAGACTCACAATATGTTTAGAACGCGATAAAATTAACTTATGTGCAATAGATGTTAGGAATAACATTTATCAAGCGTACAATCATAAATATAATTTAAACTTTAATGCATTCTAATAATTCGAATTCGGGTTAGGAATATGTTCAAGTCGTAGTTAGGAAGATTTAGTGTCATTCCCCCATTCATATAGATAACTATCCATTAACCTATGTGGGAATGAAATTGATGACTCGACCTAGACATAGAATTTCACAAATTTTTTTCACTTGATAAAACGACATAAGCTATGTCTCTAAACCAAAATCACATCACTATTAAACATATTTATTCTGAGGTTATAACCATTTCTACATGCTATGTCAAAAGATATACAACACAGGATCCCCAACATACAACACAATTAGCCATAAGCTCAAAATAGCAGCTCACAAAATAACTCTACAGGTCGTCATCCATGTAAATCGAACTTTGGAATCCCGTAAAAGCTCCACAACTAGCTGTGCTCTCTATGTAGTTCCAGGCTCACCTACAATGCAAGAACTACATAAGCCAATGCTTAGTAAGCAAAAATCATGCATGTCATGAATATGAATAATAATGATATATGCTACTATGCCATTTACTTTTAAACATCACGATAAAGAAGTATCATATTCCAATATTCAACAAAGTCGACTCGAAATAATTTCATTTGAAACATTTCATTTTATTTGAAATTTTTCATTTCATTGGGCCCTTGACCCACCTACTATGTGCCGGATAGATCTCTAGATAATATCAATATCAGTAATTAAATGGCCAATATGAAATTGACACCGACGAATTGACCATCCTCTCGTGACCACTAGAGGCCCATCTCCTAACTACCCTTATGATCACTCAAGAAGTCTCCCACCCC